TGACTCTTTATATGTCCGAGATATATAGAGGTCGGAACAGAGAGAGGCAGACAGTGAGAGGCACATACACATTTAGCAAAAGCACACATACAAGTCATATAACCACACGATTAAAAGAATAAAACAACGAAAACTTGAAATTAGCTTATGCCCTTCAACCAGAGTAGGGAGGAAAGATAGAGGGCTTTTTGTGTGTTGGCAAGAAACTATGTCGAGGCGTGAGAAGAAAACAAACAAGGACCAAACAAAGAACTGGTTATGTAAAAATATGAAGCAACAGAGGCGTCTCCGACATCACAATCGAATGCCTAAGAAATACAAACAAAATCTTAAAACTAACCCGAGCCTGAGCCTTTAACGTTACTTCACTTAGTAACAAACTGTTCAACTCTCGCGACAAAAATCTCGTTTACCGATTTCGCCAAGTGATCAGCAATATGCAATTATCATGTCATTGATGTTATGAAAAGATAACCATTCAGTGAGGCATGCTTAATGCGAGAGAACAAATTTTTACTTTACTTGTCCCCTTCTGACGTTATGAGCCTCTACTTTTTTGCGGTCTAAATAAACCGAAGTCTAAGATTAATTTCGAACGGCAGTCAAGCTCTCAAATAGCGGTTTCATTTGTCGTTACCTGGCTGTGCGCAGAGATTAAACGAAACTTTACAAACGCAATTCTTATCGCCAGTTTGTGATAAGTTGCGATAGAACCAGCTATCAACAGAGAATGCGTTATAAATAAAAGAACAATCAGCAGTATTCCATACCAAGACAGTATAGCTTTTATTTCCGATGGTTCATACCATTCGTTGCAAATGGAAATATACAAAAATATCAGGGTAACAAGCAATTCCAAAGGATATCTGCTCCACTATCTGGCCGATATGCCATACTTCTTATTCCAGTCCTCATACATCTGTAGGTCTTTGTCCGACACGCTTGCCCGGATGCTGCGAAGGGCACTCATAAAGTCATCTGTGGAGATGGGTCGCACCTGGTGTTTGGGAACGAGAGTAAGGCCATCAATTAGTCTTTTGCCATGGTTGACAAAACACTCCCATTAAAGACTATTAGGAGTTTAGACAGCATAATTTCAGTTTCACAAAGCCCTAAGGTACAAGGTAAACTTTGCCTGTAATACACAGGACAGAGCACTTTTCAGCCATAGAATTTCCCTCGCTAGTTGACAAGAAAGTGGAGCAATATGCAATTACTCTGGTGCACATTTACATGAAAATAATATGTATATATATATACACAAACGTGTGTATAGATATATACATATGCGTGTATGTGTGTGTTTATGTGTATGTTTGTGTGTGTGTGTGTGTTTATTACTAAATTACCTGATCCACTGAGATGTGTTTTATGTCCGAGAAGCTGATAGAGCGGATGGGCCCCAGGGCAGCCTCGCGACAGAGATTGGCCATGTCGGCCCCCGAGTAGCCGTCCGTGCTCTGGCAGATGCGGTGGACGTCCTCCTCCGTCAGGCTGTGCACTTGATTCGCCATCAGGTTCACGATGATTTGTTGGCGGGCCTGGGTGTTTTTCGCAGAACAGAAATAATTTTGGAAAAAATATTCAATTATTTGTCATCATCAGTGCCAGCAATGATAATATTTCTCCCATCACTCTTAAAAATAAATATAGCATCATTACTAATGACATCGGAACTATATTTTTTAGCCTGACCTTTAAAATTACTAACTTATCATATTAACAGATAAACTATTGATGCAATAGAACTGAACAAACCAGAATATTCATTGGTCATTCGTTAAGATACCTTCCTATATATTATTTTCTGTTCTGAAGAGAGAGACTATAGGAGGATAAGGGAGAAGTACTAAGATCCAGGAAGGTCTGTTAAAGATCTACGCAGTCTACGGGACGGATGGCCAGGATATGGCTTTAGCACGGCAATGTGAAAAACAAAGACACTGTGTGTGAGGAAAACCAGGTCAGGGTTGGTAGCGGTTGTATCCACACCAAGCCCGTAACCACACATAAACCAACACAAAATGTCTGAGCATTTTCGTCGAGAAAATACGGGATCTGATCACCCGTTAAAATAGAAAACGTATTGATCGAACCGTCGACACTGCAAACAGATTCACCAGACAAGACAAAGTTGAGGGGTTGTAGATGACTGCGAGGAAAGGTGGTTGGAGTTGGGAAATTAGAGTTTCAAAGGCAACACAGACAATGGGATGGGATGGGGAGAAGTAGACAGGAAAAACTGTGATCCAGCGGCGAAAAAAGATGCGAATAACTGTGCACAGGACAGTGGTTTGTATAGGAGGTATGACATAAGGTGTGTTATGATGGATAAGTATAGACGAGACATATAGGGAGTGTGGGGAACAGATAAAATAGTAATTGGGAATTGGAATAGGAGGAGGTGTGAGGAAAGTCTTTTGAAGACAGATAATAGATGGATTATAAGAAGCTAGGATATGACGGAGGTCTGGTCTGTGAGAACGGAAACCGCGAATATTCCGATGTAGGAAAGCTATATCTTGATTATTTTATGAGGAAAGCGCCGGTACGTGTTGGGGAATCTGGGGGGGAAGGAGCTAGGGGGAGTAAAGGAGGGGTATCAGGAGGTAGGTAATCTGGGGAAGGGCATTGTTGCGACATGAGTGATTCCCGTGTATATCCGAGAGGGAGTGGAAAGGATAGAAGGGATGGAGGTAGGGAGAATGTGCGTATAGTTGTAGTTGAAGGGGGTGGGTGTGTTGGGAGGGAGTAGGAGGAAGTGGTGTGGGGGGAATATGGATATCAGGAGGATGGATATCAGGAGGGTGGGTATCGGGAGGATTGATGTCGGTGGTGGACGGATTTGAGGGGGTTAGGTTGTGTTGAGAGGGAATAAAAGGAAGGGGTGTAGGGGGAATATGAGTAGGAGGGGGATGGATATCGGCAGTTACTTCGAATGTAAAGGGAGCATGAGTCGTGGAATTTAGTGACTCAAGCATATAGTTCTGGATATCTTCCATAGTTTCTGCAGTGGAGTTGGTTGGAGAGTTTTGTGGGACAAAAGTTTTCTTATGAGGGGGTGAAGAGGAGACTGGTGTCTGAGGAATAAAGGTAAAGGTAGGTGGAGGCTAGTGTGCGGTAGGGGAAGAAGGGGTGGAACGTTTAGTCTGTCTCCTACGGGTAGTGCGGGGAAGGAGAGGGCATGTTGTTGCGGCTGTAGTTGAGATTGGAGCTGTGGTTGAGATTGGGGTGTCTGGATTTAGTGGCAAAAGAATTGGTCTGAGAGAGGTAGAATGTAGAAGTGGAAGTGGGGTCATCTTGGGGTGGAGGGGGAGGGGCGATGTTACTAGAGTATGGAGTATGAGAGAAACCTTGTGGGCGTGCTTCCTGTCTGGCTTCACGTAAAGTGAGACCATTTTTGTATCTGAGAGTTGCTACTTCAGATCCAAACTTGTAAGTGGGACAGCCTCTATAAAACACATTATGGGGGCCGCCGCAGTTAGCACATGTACGTTTTTGTGCAGAGCAGTTTGATCGGTTATGACCAGGTTGGGCACATATGGGGCATCGGTCTATGGAACGGCAGTGTTTGGCAGGATGTCCAAAGCGCCAACAGTTTTGACATTGACGGGGAGGGGGTTGGTATGGTCGAACAGGGAGGGATTGTCCACCGATGTAGATACATAAGGGAAGATCATGTGTACGAATTGTAGTTTTGGCAATGTTGATCGGATTCTTTCGTTGACCTTTAGGAGGAATGGTGTAGCAATGTAGCAATGGGGTAGAGTTGATGAATTTTGAGGAAGTTGGGAGGGTAGGAATGTCTTCTGGAGATTGAGTCTCTGCTTGGGTGGGTAGGGGGAGGGCTATTTGATGGGGTATTACATCTTCATTACTGGCCATGGGAAGCCTTGATTATGTTAAGGGACGTAAACAGTCCACCCCCTAGTTCCCTGTAGGGTGTAAGGGCTAGACAATTAAATCAGGGGAGTACCGTGCCCATGGTTCCGTCAGGCCGTTCATGACTGGCACAAGGTCAGCCTTTCATCCTTTCAGCACGGCTCTCACACCTTAGGAAGTAGATAGTAGAAGGGGTTGGAGAAAGGATGGAAACAAAAAGCTGGAGGGGGATAAGATCATGCAAAATTAGTAGAGTCGAGGGCTGAGGCCCAAGGTAGGGGAGGTCTCCAGCATTGGGTCCCAGTCCTCGCCTCCTAAGCACCCCCACAACAAAAACGGGCAAGCGATTGAGGTGGGGGGGGGTAAGGAGGTAATGTAACGAGCAATTCCTTAATACTATTATCATGCCCTACATGAAATCAAGAAGTGTATTGAAATCAATATACCGATTAATGCCTTACCATTACTGGTGGCCAACTACCGAGCCACATCCCCTATAACCCCTTAGACTCCCTGGTGAATCAGTTTCATTGTGTGAACAGGTCAGCCAGAAGGTTCTCTATTTGAACGGACGATCTGATACTTTATCTTCCCAACGGTTAGAATTTTTTTTACTGTAGTATGGCTGATTACGGATATTGTGTGGCCGCATTCCACGACCACTAATGTGCTAATGTGCCACAACCGAAGGTTTGGCTGAGGTTTGCTTCAGGGCAGTCCTAGGGACAACAATGGAAGGTTGTGCAGTGTGCTCTAATGCGTCACGGACAAAGGAGGTGAAGCGTGGACTCAAGCATGGTGACTCTAAACAGTCGTTTTGCTTCCCACATCTTGAGACGGGTGCTAGCCACCCAACGCAGAGACCGTCCAAATCTTTGACCTGACCTGCCTCCTCTGCCGTTTGTCTTTTCTCACCTATGCTTTTTATACCTTGTTGCTTTTCTTTTATCTTTTCATATGTCTTCCTCTTCATTCACTTTTCAGAGTAATGATTAATGTTTAAAACAAATGTGCTAGACATCAAAGGTCATATAGCACTATGGTAAAGTACTGTGATGGCAGGGATAAAGTTACTCAAGTTTCAACGGTAAGGTAATATGTTCGTGTAAGGGGTAGAA